GACCGCCATCTTGCCGGAGTCCTTCACTACCCTCCTACTTTAAACCTTCATGATTTCTCTCTAAAACTACTGTAAGTACTTCTTAACTTGGTATCCCTTCTGCCATTCCTGGCCTCTGTAGCTTATTATATCCATACAAGCAAAGAATGAGTCTTTTAAAATATAAGTCAGATTTTGAAAATGTACTCCGCTACTCAAAATTCATCATACTGCTCATCACACTTAGAATAAAACCCAAGTTGTTAGCAGAACCTACGGGGCTTTACATGATCTGTTTCCTGGCTTTCTCTCTGACCTCATCTTCTGTCAGCCTTCTGTTCACTCAGTTTTTTCCAACCACACTGTCTTGGTCATCTAGTGGTACTATAACAGAAATACCACAAGCAGATAGCTTCAACAAACAAGTTTATTCTCTCACAGTCTAGTAGGCTAGAAGTCCAGATTCAGGGCATCAGCTCCAGGGGAAGGCTTTTTCTGTTGGCTCTGGAGGAAGGTCCTTGTCATCAACCTTCCCCTGGACTAGGAGCTTCTCCACGCAGGAACCCCAGGTCCAAAGGACATGCTCTGCTCCCTGCACTGCTTTCTTGGTGGTATGAGGTCCCCCCTCTGCTTGCTTCCCTTTCCTTTTATCTCTTGTAATATAAAAGGTGGTGCAGGCCACACTCCAGGGAAACTCCCTTTACATTGGATCAGGGATGTGATCTTAGTAAGGGTGTTACAATCCCACCCTAATCCTCTTCAACATAAAATTACTATCACAAAATGGAGGACAACCACACAATACTAAGAATCATGGCCTAACCAAGTTGACACATATTTTTACGGGGCTCAATTCAATCCATGACACACGCTGACCTCCTTATAGTTCCTCAAACATGCTAAGCCACCTACCCCTTCAGGAACACTCTTCTTCCAGAGCTGCTTTCTTGTCTGTGTTCAGAATAATGTCAGTGAAGCCTTCTCAGACCACCATATCCAAAATAGTGCTCTCCTTCCCTTTCCCCCAGGTATTAACTGTCTCCTCACTTTACCTTATTTTTTCATAGCATTTACCTGTCAAATATTCATGTGTTTGTTTATTGTCCTCCTTCTCTCAGAATATAGGTTCCACAGACTTTTGTTTTGTCTAGTGTATACTAGGTATCTAATAAATGTTTGGTGAGGTAAAAAAGATTATGATTGCAGATTTTTTTTTTACATATTTGAGTTTGGGTTATATGGGGAATATTGAGAAGGACATATTCAGCAAGGTATTTGGGTATATAGGTCTGAAACTCTGCAGAGAGGTTTGACCTTGAATATAAATTGGAGAGTTTTTAGTATATGTGATAATAGGTAAATGAGATTAATCGAGGAGGTGTAGTATGAGGGGAGAAATCCATAGACAGAACTCTGGGTTGCACAGATGTTTGGGTTACCAGAGGAAGAACATATGATTTGAGTACTCCCTCACAATCCTGCTCACCTCTCACTTTCTGTATGACTTTGTAAGTGTCACACTCAGAACCTGACACATTTTTATTAGTGATTTGGATAAGGGTGTAGAGGGCATGCTTAGCAGATTAGGTGGTAGAGTTAACACAGTCTGTATACAAAATGTCATTGATTGGTTGATATGCTGGGCCTAAATCATCAAAATAAGTTTAACAAGGTTAACAGTTTGTTAACAAGCTTAACAAATTCTGTAATCAGATTAAAATAGTCAGTTGGACAAGTACACAATGGGCATAGTTGTGCCAGCTTTAAAAACAAGCACAAAATCCCTGGGAGAGAGAGATATACACACATATGTGTACATATGTATACTTACATACATTTATACATACATATATGTATAGCTGTATATATGTCTACGTGTGTGTGTATGTATGTATGTATATATTTTTTTACATTAACAAAGAGTATGACTAAGATCCTCAAATAACAAAGGCGATCTTAGGCTAATAGACATACAGTGTCCTAGTTTTTGACAGTACATGGTCTTTGGTTTCTGAACTAGTGAGATCATATCCAAGTACCATATTTTTTAAGGACTTAGTCTAGAATCTAGACTCTAGATTAAATCCAAGGTATTAGAGAATGGGGAAACCATAATATGTGAATAATAATTGAAGAAACTTCATTAGATTTCCCAGGCTTAAATATGGGAAGATACATAATTTTTTTTCTCTGACCAAGAGGTCAAACTAGGATTAAAGGATGGGCTTCTAAGAGCATCAAACCAGGATTTATTGGTGGTAAGGAAGGATGGAACGTGGAGACTAGTTGGTGAGGAGGGTGGAAAAATTGATTTAGAAAGTCCAGTAAAAGTGGTAAGTCTGAATTGGAAGATAGAAAACCAAGAGAATCCTGTATCCCGTATAGGCTGAGCAAGTAGACCTGTTATCCTGACTAGGCCTCATATCCTTAAAGATAGAGCCAAGCAGTACTCTAGGCTTGTAGAAATTGGGGTACTAGACTAGGGGCCTGACCAGGGGCTCTGGCTTAAGAAGAGGTCAGGGACTCAGTTACTGGAACTGTAGTACAGGGTCAGATCTAAACCATTAGGAGGACTGACTTGTAACTGACTAGCTGATCTAGCAACAGGATTAGTACCAGGGAGAGAAAGCTTAAATAGCTAGCTGAGGGCATCAGAGAGATACTGGGACATTGAACAGAACAGATTTTAAGGAGGTAGGTTTTGACTAACCACAAGATTTTTATTAGCAGTCTGACTGCCGTATAGGAAACTGGACTCCTGCAAGAGACTAAATAAGTATCACTAGAGATATACAAGCAGAAGCTGGTTGGGCTTCCTTCCTTAGAATACAGGAGAAAGAATTGCTGCTTTGAGTAGGTGGATGTAATTCATGACTTTCTTATTCTCATATCCACTGTTTCAGTGACATTATATATATTTTTTTAATTTATGTTTTGAATTTGGGGGAAGATGAGGTAACTTTTCTTTTACTATATTTTAGGTGGCTGAATATACTATTTTAGAAGGAAAACTTCAAAAAACCCTGATTGACTTAGAGAAGAGAGAGCAGCAACTTGCCAGTGCAGATTCAGAGGTACTTCATTCATATATTGTATGTTTTTATTTCATTAGTCTGTATATTAAGTTCATACCATTTCTTTCTTTTTCTCTATACTTATGTGAAATATATTTCATGGAAATTATCTTTCAGACAATATGGAGGAAACTGCTCTTCATCTGGGCAAAGCATGTTTTTTACATTAGAATATGAGGAGTAGATAGAAAAGTGTTATTTGAAATAATTAAGCATCATTCATCCAGCTTTGACCTGAACTCTTCTACAATATTGAAGTTTTTGGTTAACTTTCCCATTGTATGGAAGGGGTGGATTTCTGTATTGCCTAGAGAAAAATGTAGCACCCTCTCAGGGGCCTAAAATCCTGATACTGCATTAAGGTAGAAGGGAATGTTGCTGTAAAAAAAAAATTTAGCATAGCATGCTTATGAAAATACCTCATAGGGGAAGGATGCAGTTGGCAAACATAGAAGGCGTGTTATTTGCATAAAAATTCGGTAGAATTTCATCCACATTAATTTTATATGCCCTTTCCCCACCCAAAATCGTTCAAAATTTTCTCAGTAAATCACCCTAACCATGTCTTTATGGATTATTTTGAGATTTCTAAATTGTTTAGATGTTTAAACTTAAATATGTGTAGAAATAATTTTGTTCCTAATACTAAAGCTCTGTTATTTTCTATATTATTAGGTAGAGGATGAGAGGTTTCTAGAAGAAAAAAAGAAGTTTGGGGATATAAGCCTATATAATAAAATGGGCTTTATTCAAATGGGAATTTTAAGTGGTTAGGGCCTTTTCAGGAGCCCTGGTGGCCTAGTGGTTAGGTGCTTGGCTGCTAACCGAAAGGTCAGCAGTTTGAACCCACCAGCTGCGCCATAGGAGAAGGATGTGGAAATCTGTTTCTGTAAAAATTTACAGCCTTGGAAACCTTATGGGGCAGTTCTACTCTGTCCTATAGGGTAGCTTTGAGTTGGAATTGACTCATTGACAGTGGGTTTAGGGCCTTTTCATCTGAATTTATATGGATTTGTATATTCTTTGTATATTATTTGTGTATTAGTATTAAATAATGATTGACTGAAAATTTATAATTTTAGTATTCTTAAATATTAAGTAATAACTGAAAAGGATCTGAAAATGAATTTGTAAATATTCTGAATGTTTAACTGTATCTAAGGATAATAGAATATTGGACAGTATATTTCGGCTAGTAATAGGCCAGCCACTTAAAGATGCACTTGTTTCAAGCTTCAAAGAGAAAAAAAGGAACTGCAGTCAGAACGTGAACGGAACTTGCAGGAACTTCAGGACTCTATCCGTAGGGCCAAAGAAGACTGTGTTCACCAAGTAGAACTGGAAAGATTGAAGATCAAGCAGCTAGAAGAGGATAAACACCGACTTCAGCAGAAGGTTGGGTAAAATACCTGTCATCTTTTTACACTTAAAGTTTATTTGTATTCTAGAAAGAAATAGTTCATTAAAAAGTGATAAAATTCACAGTAATTTGTACTACTAATCATAATTATTGCACTGAAATGCCAATATACTTCAATTTGAATTTTTTTTTAAGTCCCAATACAGATTATATTGGATTAATTTTTTTCCTTTGTAACTATTTGCATGAAATTATGCTGTACTTCAGGTGACTCACAACTTAAAGTGTTCTTTTTCTAATAAATTTCCTTTTAGCAAACAGATATTCTTCATGTGTCACTGGACCAAATTCACTTAACAACCAAATTTCCTGAGGAATTTTCTGTGCTCCTCTAATTTCTTCATCTCACACTCACCTCTCAACCCATCCCACTCTGCTTTCTCCCCCTTCCCTCCAACCAGCCAGCTGTCAGAAAAGCCACCAACACCTGAGTCACTAAGTTCAGTGCACATTTTTCATTTCTCATCTTACTAAAACTTCTTGACAGCATCAATGCTATTGTTACTGTTTCTGTATATTCTCTTGACGTCTACTGCGTCCCTCCCCTTGTTTTCCTTTGCCTTTCTGGCCACCTCTCAGGCTGTTAAATGTTGAAATTCCTTCAATGTCAGGACTTACTTTGTACTAAACAATTCTACCCATGGCTTCAGAGACAGTCTGTACATCTGTGACTCCCACATTCATACCCCAGACCTTTCCTTTGCACTCTAGACCCATATGTCTAACTGCCTTTTTGACCTCTACTTGATGTCTTAAAGGCATTTTAAACCCAGCGTGCTATACCTTACCTTCTCCATTAAGTATTCTCTATTTCAATTACAGGCTCCTTCAGTCTGCTCTTCATGTTGTAGCCAGAGTGGTATTTTTTAAATTTGGGGATCATGACACTCTCTTTAAAACCTTCTGACGGCTTTTTATTGCTCACTGGCTACTGATCAGAATTGTTACCTTGTCCTCTAAGCCTCTGTGTAATTTGGTCCCAGCCTACCTCTTTTATTTCATCTCCCACTGTTTCATCTTTGCTGTTTGCTCTAACTACACGGGTCTTCCTTCAGGTTCGCAAGCATGTCATGCTCATTTCACCCATAGGATCTTTATGTATGCTACTGTTTCTGAGCCTAGTGAATTCTACTCATCCTTCAGTTTTCAGGATCACTTACCCAGAGAAATCTTCCCTGATCCCTGCTCCGCAAGTCTAGGTCAAGTTTTTGATGCATGTTCTCACGAGACATTGTTCTCCTATTCTTTTTCTCTCTATGATATGCTACATCAGTTTGTTTTTATTTTCATTAATGTGATGATTTGATCCGTGTCTCTTTGTTCCATAAAAACAGGAACTGTGCTTTTTTTTGGTTTATAGCTGTATGCCTGGAGCCAGCCCAGTCTTCAGCACGTAATAGGAGCTCAGTAAATATTTGCTAAAAGAAGAACGATCAGCTGTTAAAAATTAAACTTTTAATAAAAGATAAAAGATTAACTCATTTATCTTTCTTAAAAATTTCAGCATAGATTAGATATGTATGATGAATTCTTTAAAGTCTTTAGTCAGTTCTGGCCCGAAGAGCTGTTTGCACAGCACCTTCAGAGTCAGATAAGGTCACGATATTAAGGTGCTTGCAAATATGATGATTGTTACTATGGGACGGTCTCACTTAAAATATGAAAGATAAGGTTGTAAAAGTAGGCAAATGTGATGGGATTCACCAGTACTGCTTCTCTTCTTCCACTTATCAGGAAGATTCAGCCATTTAGAGCAAAGGTTCTTAAAGTGTCCAGGAGAGCTCTTGAAAAAACATACGATGTCAATACCCCTTCTGAGATCAACATAATTAGCTTATATCTTTGTGGGAAAAACCTGGACAATGGTATTTTGGATAAATTACCCAGGACACTTCTTTGATTTTGAACCACTGGTCTAAAACATAATCTAGGACCTGTGGGAAAAAATACTGGGAGCAGGGGAAGGTATGGGCAGATAAGTTTCTAGGATGCCCAGATTGCTAAGTCCATGCACTGTGTACTTTCCACATTTTATATAAAGGAAAGCTTTTTAGACTCTTGTTCTGAACCAGGTTACTATACACACAGTTCTAACTAGAAGGCAGACAGAACAGTTAGACACTGATACAGGAGTGAGAACTATCTGTATTCAATTACAGAAGTATTCAAAAGTGTCTGCATTCACACATATAAAAGGAGATACCAGAACTCAAAAATCACTGTTATTTATGGGCCACTTAGCAAAGGAAAAAGAGTTGACCATGCCTTAGGAGCTTACTGCTCTACAACCTGGTACAATAATTGTTAATGATAATATCCCTGAATGGTGGAGAAACTACTGAATACAATATTAAGTTTATTACCTTTTGTTAAAAATAGGAAAGTCAGTGAGATACTTTTAACAGATTTCTATTCAGCTTTTAAAATAAAAGTTGGAATGTTAACAGTGATAAACTTCAGCTACTTGGAAAATTTTTTGTATGGAACACCTCATTACCTAAAGATGCTAGATAAATTCTGGTTAGAATTATTTGTATTTGTTGGCATAAAAGAATTTCTTTAGTATTGATGATTTAAAATTGCATTTTTGCCACAGATTTTCTCAGTATCAAATATGGTTCATTCTTATGTCTTCGGAAAGTGATAATTGGTGTATCTAGTCATTGCTGGTCATATCAGTATGTTTTTCTGAAGCATCTGGAGCAATGCACATTTGCATTTGATAAAACAAAAATTCCCAGATTTGAAAAGAACATCATTAAGTATATATTTTTTTGTAATTCTACAACTCTCCTAAAGGAAATTGTAGAGTGTTTAGTCAAGGCAGTCTACCTCTCTGTCTCTCTCTTTTTTTTTTTTTTTTACTTAGCATTACATGTTTTCCTTAGAACATTATTCTAGGGGATGAGAAGATCCAAAATCTATTCTTGCTTCTGCTACTAACTAGCTCTTTGGCATTGCCTGAATTATGTAGTTTTTTGGCCCTCAAGTTTCTTACCTATGAATATGAAGAGGCTGGACTAAATAATCTTTAAATTACCTAAAATTGTAATATTATTTGAATTTTTGACATTCATACAGTATCAAATTATAGGAATAATAATATTACATTACAATTAAGTTTTTATTTTTGTGGATAACAATCTGCATATCTGTAATACTCAATCTGTTCTTAGATCTGACACCTTAAGAAAAATGTACAAGATACCAGTATTTTTATATGGTGACTTTCTGATTTGCCAGCTCAAATGTAACAGAAACTTTCTCATGGTACTGGTTTCCTAAGAAATTTCATACTGGTAAAAAGATTTTGTACATGGTAATCAATTGATTTAATAATGTTTTTTAAGATTACTAAAGATCTTTATTTTCCTCATTACACTTTATTTTCCAAATTTTCTGCTACGAACATGATTTAGAATAAAAAATAAATAACACAGTTGAATTGAATCCTGTAACATTAAACATGCATATTTTTGTTTTAAAATAGATATAAATACTTTTTTTTAAATGCAGCTTAATGAAGCTGAAAATAAGTATAAGAATTTGGAAAAAGAGTTCCAACATTTCAAGGATCAACAGAGCAACAAACCAGAAATACGTCTACAGTCTGAAATAAATCTTCTCACCTTGGAAAAGGTACCATGTCAATTTTTGACAGCTTAACTATTCCCAGTGATTAGTTTATAAAATCAATAAATATTGTTTGCATACAGAATGTAATAATGTTCCACTGTAGTATTTGAATATCAAATAAGAACACATCAGATAATTCAAGGCACATGACATTGTTAGTACTTGGGTTTCTTGGCTTATTTTGAGTTATAAACCCCCCATAAAACCTGTTGTCATTGAGTCAATTCCGACTCATAGCTACCCTGTAGGACCGAGTAGAGCTGCCCTGTAGGGTTTCTAAGGCTGTAATCTTTAGAGAAGCAGACTGCTATATCTTTCTCCTGTGGAGCTGCTGGTGGGTTTGAACTGCCAACCTTTCAGTGAGTAGCCAAGCACTTAACCACTGTGCCAACCAGGGCTCCGTATCAGTTATAGCTTATACTAATTAGAGTTCTTATTTGCAAGCAGCAGAAACTGACTAACTGTAGAAGTGAAGGAATTTACAAAACAAGCAAGCTGAAGAACCAGTTTCAGAAAATAGGCAGGAACCAGGGGAAGCAAGGTACAGCCATATCTTGCCTCAAAACAGTCTTCCTAGGATGCTGTTGTTGGTGCCATCACAGCTGGACACTGTGCCATGTTACTGGATTCTGTATGCTCTAATTCTGGTGTCATTCTGTTGAACTCTCAGTTTTACTGTAGTCATTGTGAATATCTCTGCTATTGCTACCCTCAGTCTCTCTGTATCACGATCCTCTAGGTTTAGAAGTAGAGGTAAAATTGAGAGTTTGAATATGGAAATGGCTTATAACAACTGCAGTGGGGAATTTGTTAGTATTATTGATGAGATTAGATTGCATGTTTTTGAAGAGAATTTTGTCAGCACTGTTATAGCAAAGTTTAGGACAGTCTCTTCCCTTTCCCCAGTGAACATAGGCTGGTGAAGGTGGCTTGGGTTCAGAGATTGGTAAAATGAAAGCCATAGAATGGTAAGATCCTGGAGAGACCAGTATTTGAAATAATCAACATTTGGCCTACTAAATGGATTGGGAGAACAGAAAAGGGTCAAAGGACCCAAAAGGTCACTGTCACTGATGGTGAGTAAAGTGGAAGTTAAGAGGTTTGATGATGACGGGAAGAGCTATCATTTTAAGATATTGGAAAAGGATTTGGCTGTGTGGTGGTGGATTGGAGGGATGATCATATCTACATACTGGTTGCTGAAATACATGGAGGTAAAGTAATGAAGTCAAGAAACTTTAAATATAGGGCATTATGTGAGATGAGCTAAATAATGAGGAAAGGTGTGAACCTAGCACTAAAATTATCAAGTAAAGTGGGATAATAGCCAAGAATGGTATTTCAGACCATGTGTTTTGAAGCTTCTTTAGGGACCATTGTGGGGCATGGGAGTGGTAGATAGTGCTGTAGAACCCTTTGCTTCAGTCGGAGCAGCTCTGTGTTCATTGGTCTTTGCTTCTTTCTTGAGATAGATTTAACTTACAGTATTATGAACCTCTCAAAAAATGAAAAAAGTTTGAAAACTTCTGACTTACATGTTGATAGATGATAGTGAAGAGGAAGTATAAACGAATAGATAGACTAGATTTTGAAACAGGAACCTTTGTTGAATAGCTGTGGTAGAGTAGTAATCAGAAAGTAGCATTGGGGAGCAAAATAAACTTGTAGGTTTGGGGGAATGGATTAATGGATAGCATCAACAGAAGACTGCTTTGAGCAGAGTGATGTCTGGTCTCTGTTAAAGTGTTTTAGGGGGAGGAAGATGACTGAATAGCTTCAAAATCTTTTATTTCATAACCTCAACACTCAAAACCTTAAAGCTTAGATTGGGATAGATTCCTTTAGGAACTTCTAATATTCACTGTGATTGTTTTAGAACTACTGCAAACAAAACTAGATGATAAGCTTTCCAAGACAGAGACCATGTTGTAGCTATCTTCATATTACCTGTGCTTAACACGGTACCCTGCACCTCGTAGTACGGAGTAAACATTTGTTAATGATGATGATAAAACAGCATAACCTTTGCTGCTCAGAATTTTCAGTTATTCATTCATTCAGCAAAAATTTATGGAGGGCATATCATTTGTCCTTACTTCATCTCGGTACAAAACAGTTTTGAGATGATTGTTGTTAGGTGCCATTGAGTCAATTCTGACTCATAGCAACGGCATGTACAACAAAATGTGAAACACTGCCTGGTCCTGCGCCATCCTCACGATCATTGTCATGCTTGAGCCCGTTGTGTGTAGCCACTGTGTCAGTCCATCTTGTTGAGGGTCTTCCTCTTTTTGGCTGACCCTCCACTTTACCAAACATGATGCCCTTCTCCAGGGACTGATCCTTCTGATAACATGTCCAAAGTATGTGAGATGTATTCTTGCCATCCTTGCTTCTAAGGAGCATTCTGGTTGTACTTCTTCCAAGACAGATTGTTCTTTTAGCAGTCCATGGTGTATTCAGTATTCTTTGCTAACACGACAATTCAAAGGCGTCAGTTCTTCTTTGGTCTTCCTTCATTGTCCAGCTTTCGCATGCGCATGAGGCAATTGAAAACACCTTAGCTTGGGTCAGGCGCATCTTGGTTTTCAAGGTGACATCTTTGTTTTTTAACACTTGAAAGAAGTCTTTTGCAGCAGATTTGGCCAATGCAGTGCGTCTCTTTATTTCTTTTTTTTTTTAATTTTTTTTATTATACTTTAGATGAAGGTTTACAGAACAAATAGTTTCTCATTAAACAGTCAGTACACATATCGGTTTATGACATTGGTTAACAATCCCACGACATGTCAACACTCTCCCTTCTTGACGTTGGAGGACTTTTTTTTTTTTGGTGAAAATATGCATAGCAAAAGTTACACCATTTCAAAAGTTTCTCCATGTACAATTTAGTGACATCGATTACTTTCTTGCAATTGTGCTGCTATTCTCACTATCCTTTTCCAAATTATTCCATCACAGTTATCTTCAACTCACTGCCCCAGGCCTCCCATCAAACCTTCTGAGCTGCTGTTGTCAATTTGATCTCACATAGGTAACTCTTTTTTTTTTTTGTACCTTAGATGAAGTTTTGTAGAACAAATAGTTTCTCATTAAACAGGTAGTACACATATTGCCTTATGACAATGTTTAACAACCCCACGACATGTCAGCACTGTCCCTGCTCAAACTTGGGTTCGCTATCACCAGCTTTCCTGTCCCCTCCTGCCTTCTAGTCCTTGTCCCTGGACTGCTGTGCCTCAGTAGTCCTGTTTTGTTTTATGAGGCTGTCCAATCCCTGGCTGAACAGTGAACTTCAGGAGTGACTTCACCGCTGAGCTAAAAGGGTGTCTGGGGGCCATACTCTTGGGGTTTCTCCAGTCTGTCAGGCCAGTAAATCTGGTCTTTTTTTTGTGAGTTAGAATTTTGTTCTACATTCTTTTCCAGCTCTGTCCAGGACCCTCTATTGTGATCCTGGTCAGAGCAGTCAGTGGTGGTAGCCAGGCACCATCTAGCTGTGCTGGACTCGGTCTGGTGGAGGCTGTGGTAGCTGTGGTCCATTAGTCCTTTGGACAGATCTTTTCCTTGTATCTTGTTCTTTTCATTCTCCCTTACTCCTGAAGGGGTGAGACCAGTGGAGTATCTTAGATGGCTGCTCACAGACTTTTAAGACCCCGGATGCTATTCACCAAGGTAGAATGTAGAATATTGTCTTTATAAACTGTGTTATGCCAATTAAGCTAGATATTCCCCGAGACCATGGTCCCCATAGCCCTCTGCCCAGCAGTTCAGTCCCTCACGGAGTTTGGATGTGTCTGTGGAGCTTCCATGACCTTTCCTTGTACAAGATATGTTGGCTTCCCCAGTATTGTGTACTGTCATAACCTTCACCAAAGTTGCCACTTATCTATTGTCTATTTAGTTGCCTCCCCATCCCTTGTAACCAACAAAGATTATTTCTTTTTGTGTGTAAACTTTTACATGAGTTTTTACAGTAGAAGTCTCATACAATATTTGTCCTTTTGTGATTGATTTATTTCACTCAGCATAATGTCCTCCATTTTCATCCATGTTATGAGATGCTTTACAGATTCATCATTGTTCTTTATCTTTGCATAATACTCCATTGTGTGTGCATACCATAGTTTGTTTATCCATTTATCTGTTGATGGGCATCTAGGTTGTTCCTATCTTTTTGCTATTGTGAACAGTGCCGCAATGAATATGGGTGAACATATGTCTATTCGTGTGACGGCTCTTATTTCTCTAGGATGTATTCCTAGGAGTGGGATTGCATTTTGTAGTGCTTTTTTTTTGTGGTTCTGACATTTTCTTTGTTCTTCTTACTCTCCTGTGCTGAGTTCCTTTTATTTCTGGATTTTTTTTTCATTTCTTCTTTTTTTGTAGGTTTTGTTTTTACTGAGACTTTATGTTTTTC